GTTTCATTCATTTCAGCTATCTTAGCACTATCATCAGAATCCAAATAAAGTTCACTTACAGCTCTGAAAACCTTTTGCTGGATTAAAACACATTTGATCTTTTGTTTCCAAATGTCAAAATCGGTTTTTCCATTAAAAGGTAACATACCATACATATTGGCAGACATGATAAGGAACACAAAAAAGGATAACACTGAAGAATCAGTGGCAGAAGACAAGGTAAATGAAAGATAGCAAACAAAGAGACAGAGAACCAAGGAGCTAGGGTTCACCAGTGTACCCGGCTGCGGGCTGACAGGCCACACAGATCCGAGGGCCACTTGAGTGACTGGCAGGGAACCTGTCAGTCCTAACCTCAGGTGCCGAGTCACAGAGGCAAAAAAAACCCAGTTCACAAGGATACCAAGAAGGCATAAAAAAACAGTAAAGTAGAGATAAACACGTAAATGAGACAGAAAAGCAGAATACCAGATCAAACAACTCAATCCCGCACACACAAAACACTCATGCAGACCACTTCACACACGAAGGTAAAGAGAACGCACCTGGGGAATATCAGTTACAAACTGATAGCCAGACCAACACGGTCAGCAGCAAGAGCAAAGCGGGGAAAGGGGATGAAACAAGTAAAACACCAAAGAATCACATAAAACCGGAGGCACCCGGCAACCTAGGGTGTTTATCGCCAATTTACCTGAGCGAGAACCCGAGGATGGGCTTCTCGACTTACCACTGAGACAGAGATCTGCGGCGGATGGCGGCGGAGGAGCTCCCGGGCTGTAGGCGAGGACGACAGGAGTTCCGGCTCTGATACCACTGTCAGGTTTTCACCTCTCCAGCTCAGACCACGCTCATACAACACACACACACCAAAGCACCATCGGAAGGGACAAGAACACTCAGACCAGCCCAGCCATCTCAACGCACGCCAAAGGTCAGAAAAGGGGAGGTACATAGAGAATACCACAGAGGGACCGGAATAGAGAAGAGACAGAAGTCTCTCTCTCTCAATCTCTCTTAACCTCACTCTCTCTCTCTAACCGAAGACCTCTACCTCAACCAAAAGGCGTAGAGGAGTTTAAGTACCCGGGCAAATAGGGGAAGCCCTAAAAGAGGGTTCCAGAAGAAGGGCTAGCGGCAGAACAACATGGGCCAGGGCAGAGGTACGAAACAGACCCAATACAAGAGGAGAGGGTTGCCTTGGCCCGTGGGGCCAATACCTCCACACACATCAATAATTTATTTGTCCGTAGCACAAACGAAAAAAGTATGAGGAATGCTAGAGGTACCCCATTTGTACCTCACCCTATGTTTGTGGCTCACAAAAATCCAACCCAATTAAATTAATTGCTCCATTTTAATGGTGTACTTTTGTGAACCATAAACACAGAGGGAATACAAAATTAGGTATCTTTAACATTTGTGAAAAAGTATTAGTGCGAAAAATAATTTTTTGGCCCAGAATGAAAAAAACCCGGCGTGTTACATTGTTTTGGACACTCCTCAAGTATGACAGGTAGCCAGTCAAACTATTGCTCTTTTTGTTATCTCGCTTGTCAGGTATTTGGTATTTGGTTAGTTACAAATCAATTCTTACTAATTAGGAATATAAGAAATGGTACTCTGTATAATGTTAACTTGAATAGTAACTTCTCATATACTCTCTTTAATTTAAGTGAAATTGTATACAGTTCGATCTGTGGAAATTAGTAGTAACTTATTGAGAATATTACCCGAAATACGATTAAAACAGTTTGAAAATTCCAAAATAAGACTGCTATATTTTTATTCCCAAAATACGAGTAATTACTGTCATATTTTGACAGTACCAGACTTCAAACATGCCAGTACTTGTTAAACATGACAGTAATTAGTACTAATTTGGGAATACAAAATATGACAATCTTATTTTGGAATTTTCAAATTATTTTAGTCCTATTTAGAGAACTTTCCTCAACTTATTTCTCGATTTGAGTCCTTTTGTCTTATTTACGGAGTACGTATTCTTGAAACATTTTTTTCTCGATCTGTAATTACATGGATAGTTAAATTATTCACTTTGGCTCTTCGTTTGATTAACATTATGTGCTTTTTGCATTTTGATCGTTAGGGAAATGATGCTCCTCCGAAATGAATCACTTTTACGCACATTTCGTCAAATTTAACCCCTTTTTGAGTTTTAGTGTATTGAAAATGATTTACTTTGCAAAGTTATCTCTAGCTTGTCAAAGTTTACCCATGTGCTGAATAATTGGGCGAAGAAAACCCCATTTCTTGTACAATTGCCGGTCTTTCCGTTTTTCTTTCACGTTGATCTAAAGTTTCTTTTTGCTAATGCCTGAAATGATTTAAATACTTGTCAGTAGAATAAGTAAAAATACTTAGAATATGCACAACTGCTTAACATAATGTTGAATAGCGATTATACAAAATGTTGTTTTACTTGGGAAATCGTACTCATTCGCATATCAAACACTTCGTAACTCCAAAACAGGTCCTACAGCCGTTTATTCCATACTTTAATGCATAGTATCTGTGCTTTAAATGAGATGTGTTTTTGTTTCGAGTGAAAAAGGATAATAATGAGTATCTTGTGATATGATAACATCATGATGATCATGATCGATCTACAAAAAAGGAGGTCACAAATTTAAATTGCATCTCAATCAAGAATATTGACATTATCCATAAACAAATTATAGTACTATAATGTGCTAGAAGGAAATTTCAAATAAAGAGAGTATATTAATACAAATTATAATTAATTTAACTATCCATAACAACTAGTGGACTTCAAATAAACAGATATGACTCCGTATTAAATACTCCCTTCGGTTCTTATTAAAGTTCCCACTTTCCTTTTTGGGATGTCCCTTATTTAAATTCACACTTCCATTTTAGGAAACAAAACAGTGCAAAACAGTGCCAAACAGTGTCCTAACAGTGCCAAACAGTGCCAAACAGTGCACTCCACAATAAAGTCAAATTCATTTTCTTAATATGTGTGAAGTCAAACTGGGAACTTAAATAAGAACCGGAGGAAATAGTTCAATAATTTTATATTATGACTTGCACAAAAAATTCTTAACAAGTGATTTGATGGATCAACATGACACCTCGTAGTTGTAAATATTTATGCGATAAGATAAAATGGCATGAAATACATACTTGGTGTTGTGTATTTGTTACTACGTACTCCGTATTTTAAATTAAAATCCACGAAGTTGTAATAATAATTTTATTTACTACCTCCCTCCCAAAAAACTTTGTCATTTCAAAAAATTTGAACATTGATTTTGATTAGTGTAAATTGTGGAATTATAAATTTTATACTTTTATGAAAGTATTTTTAACAAAGAACATTTTCATATAATTTTTATATTTTAAATAATTTTCAATAAAAAGATATGGCCGGTCAAAATTTTGAAAATTACAAAGTTTTTTGGGACATAAAAATTTTCATAAATAAAGTTTTTGTCCACAAAAAGTACTTGTGGTTGGACTCGTTTTCTAATACGGCCATGTGTTTCATTTTTTATCAAAGTGGTTAATGTGTTTGAATTCTGTTATCATAAAATAGTACTGACACCTGACTCCGTTCAAAATAGCTAGAGGAAGGTGGTGAACAATAATTCCAATTTTCAAAAGTGTCCGGAAAATTAAAAGAAAAACACCAGAAGGTTTGCCTCAACAAGACGATCGATGGACCATCTTTTTTTTTTGTTCCTAGCCACCCTTGTCACCGAAAAGTTCACCGGAAAGTGATATTAGCAAATTCATTTTATAAAAACAATCCAAACAGATCCAAAAAAACCAAAGACAAAGGTGGTCTGGAGGTATCTTTAAAAGGCACACCTTCCGATATTTTTCTTTTGATTTTTCGGACACTTTTGAAAATCGAAGTTACTGTTAACCGTCTTCCTTAGACGTTTTTAACGGCGTGACCCTCTTGGAATTCAAACACATGAACCATTTTGATAAAAAATGAAACACATGGCCCTATCTTAAAACAGTCCCAACCACATGTACATTTTCTGTACTTTTACCTTGATTTTATTTCACCATTATTCTTGAAAAATACCTCAAAAAATCCATCATTTTAATTGCAAATGCATATCCCGAAATCAAAGAAAAACAATTTCGTTATAAGGAAAAAAATCTACTTTTTTGTTGGAAAACATAAATATTCAGAAAGGTTTCTCTTAATTGGATTGGAACAAAATACTTCATCCATCCCAAAAAAATCCACCAAATTGACTTTTCTTGATCAAGGACAATCAACTTGGTTCAAAGATATTTTTGAATACAAAATTATTTTGAATATGAAAGTTATATATATGAAAATGTTCTTTATACAAATATTTTCGTAAAAGCATAAAATTTACAAAATTATATACAAATACGTAGTATAATACTACTCTTCGCAACAAAACCACCTTCTCACTTTCCTTTTTTTTAATCTGTAATTAAATAATCTTCAAATTTTTGAATCTTCGCATCATATACTCAATAATTTTGGAAAAAATACACTATTACAACTATATTTTTTGAATTTATCCTTTATTCTATCACACTATTTCAATATTTTTTCATCATATCCTCAATGATTTAAATATCCACTTTTACTATACATAATCTCACCCATTTTGAAAAGAGATTTTTTTGTTGTTGCATATAGTAATTAAAATCATTATTCAAAGTTTGTCATCACTAATTAAGAAAAGTCAATACAACGACTCTTTCGAGAGAGTAGTATTATCTCTGTCTCAAATTGTTTTGCAAAATCAATATTTTTTTGTTAATCGATGTTAAAGTTAAATTATTCTTATTGATAATTAGTTTAATTTTAATCACTAAAATTTACATATTCAGAAACTAAATTAAAATATTTATAAATGCAAAATTCAAATTAAAATCTAACTAAGAAAGGATATCCTAATTAAGTAAATCAAATGAATCTATTTGATGAAAAAAGTTAATTTTGTAATTTAATTTGGGAAGAGGGAGTAATTCAAACGAGTACATTGAAGATTGCAAAAGTCCGTGAATGAGAGGTATTCGGTCATTTGAAAAGCTACAAAACTTTACCCAGAAGCGGACATTCCAGCGGGTCAGTGTCTAAAATATTGGATGATCCCACCCATCAGATAGATTTGACATGGCTGTTCTTTTGTTCTTGGATGAATACAGATTCCATTCACCCACCACCAGATCCAGGCACTTTCTTTCATCTTTTTGATTATTGTTGGTGCTTCCTCCTCTCTCTGACACTCCCTTTTTTTCTTTTTCTCATCATCTCTTACCCAGAAAGATGTTTCAATCTCCAACCCATTTCTTGATTATTACCTGTTTGAAATTTTAATACGATTTTCTGTGAACTAAATGAGTGTCAAAATCTCTAGAAAGTCAACGAAGATGGAGGGTAAAAATCTCTTCGTCTCAATCGCTGTCATGCTCTGCTTTTGCCTTGGCTCCTTTGCCAAGGCCCAACCGTTGATGCGGGAGCTTATTTCCGATTCAAACACTGTTCCGGCGTCTCCGCTTCAATCGCAATCGCAGCTGTGTAAGCTTGACTTGTCGGAAGAGCTTTTCAGCGGCGTGAAAGCCGCCTGCCGGGAGGATCTCGACCGGAGACGGTGCTGCCCGGTATTGTCAGCGTGGTTCTACGCGGCTTACGCGCACTCGGCGCTTCGGGTCATCCCCGCGCCGCCGCCGTCTGCTCTATCGAGTATCCAGCCGTCGGAGCCGCTCGACAACCAGAAGTGCGCCAACTCGCTCCAAGACTCGCTCCAGCGTCGCAACGTTTATGTTGGTCAGATTAACGAAACGTGCGACACCGTTTTGTGCTTCTGCGGCATCCGCCTACACCAGATCAGCTCCCTCGAGTGCCCCGCCGCGTTCAACATCTCCGCCGCCGGCGAAGTCAAACCAACCGCCGCGGTTAAAGATCTCGAACACAAATGCCGCGCTTCTTCGTATTCCGGCTGTACACAGTGTCTCGGAGCTCTCCAGAAGGTCAATATCGTAATTACAGCCATCACTTTCTTTTGTTATGCAAATTTACGAAATTATCTTGATGTTGATAACTCTTCTTCACATATGCAGCTTAAAGGCGGGGGTAAAAACGGGACACAAAAAGTTCGAAACGGCGAAAACGGCCGTTTATCCAAGATGCTAAACGAGGACTGCCAGCTGATGGGGCTGACATGGTTGCTGGCGCGAAACAAGACGGCGTACATTCCGACGGTTTCGGCGGTGTTGCGGGCGTTGATGTACAGTGGGCAGCCGTTGACGGAGTCAAAGTGCAGCCCCGACCAGGAGAATATGCCGTTGGCCGTCGACTCGTTACAGTTCCAGAACGGTTCTCGTTCGGCTTCTTCTCTGTCAATTTATTATTCACAAATTTTGTCCCTAATCATCATTTGTATGATTAACATCACTACTTTTAGGATCAACTATTAGAACAATGGTGTCCTCTGCCCAAGCTTCTTTGTGCCTGCTTGTAAATTCAAAATGTTGTACGGAGGATCAAAATATATCAAGTTTAGGCAGCAAAGTACTCTGTATTATTTTTGTGATTATATGAGAAAATTTCTTAAATATAAAACAGATTTCCTAACATAATGACCACATTCATTTTTTTTCAGGTACATTCTCGCATATTACAAAACATGTTCCGCTAAATGCTAACATTTTAACTAAGACAAGGAATGTCATCTAAAACATTTTAACATTTTAACTAACACAATGAACACATTTACTTAGAAATAAAAATTATGTTGTTAAGTTTAGAGAAAACAATAACAGAGAAAATTTTAATAGTGGACTCCGGGGATTTAAGACATTCCTTGTGCCTTTTCTTTGAGAAGGGGGTTATTCATAGATTATTATGTGAAAATTAATAAATACGAGTACTAAAAATTTATAGTAAAAATAAAAGTGATAAATACACTTCCCATTCTCACTAAGAAACACATTAGTGTAATGAATGGTCGGAATTATCTAAATATTTTGGATGAATGAATTGTAGTTATTCTCTAGGCTAGTTTGCTACTTAATGAGTAAGCTCGCGAGCTCCATAAATCTATTCTCAAAAAACCTCTCCACATCTGTGAACGTTTTGTGTTTAAGAGCTCGTTTGATAACATTGTTTTTTGGCTTGTCAATCGGTGGGAGTAGCTCAATTGGTAGCAAGGGAGTGTCACAAGGGTTAGGTTCCGGGTTCGAATCCCCGCAAATGCGATGAGGTGTTACTATGCTAAAATGTATAGGGCCTCTGCAACTATTGAGGACAGAGCCTCACTCTCTGTCTGTCAGATTGAGATTATAGTCCAATTTACATCCTCCCAACGTACCGTCCGATCGGGGTGGGGGGCCCTCAGGGATGGGGTGTTATTAGAAAATGAACTCAGATAGAATAAAGGAGATTCAAATGTTATTATAAGAGTCAATACATGTATTTATAGTAGAATGCAAGTAACTAACTCTAACAGCCTGTATAACAGCACTAACAGCCCAAGGTATATCTAGAAGGTTTAAAGCTATTTACAATATACGTATGTAACATTATTTTATATTCCTAACATTCCCCCCTCAAACTTAGGGTGATTGATTTGGAAGGTCGGTCAATCACACTAAGTTTGGTTTTTAACTCAAGAAAAGAAGATGCAGACAAAGCCTTTGTCAGAATATCAGCAATTTGTTGGGAAGCAAGAATATGGAACACTTCAATCTGTTTGGACTGAACTTTCTCCCTCACAAAAAAGAGATCAATCTCCATGTGTTTTATCCTGGAGTGTAACACAGGGTTGTGGGCAAGCTGTACAGTGCTGAGGTTGTCACAGTAGATCTTTGGAGTAGGAAATGATACTTGAAGCTCTTTGAGTAAGAACTGAACCCACATAAGTTCAGCTGCAGTGTCTGCTAAACTTCTGTATTCAGCTTCTGCAGAGGATCTGGCCGCTCTCAGTTGTTTCTTGGACCACCAAGAAATGATGTTTGACCCAAGAAAGATGCATGATCCAGAAGTGGACCTTCTGTCAACTAGGTCAGATGCCCAATCAGCATCACAAAAGGCAAAGATAGGTAAAGGCATAGTTTTCAGAGGTAGAGGTTTAATGATGATGCCATGTTTATAGTACCAGATAGATATCTGAGAATGTGTTTTACTGCCTTCCAGTGATCTTGTAGAGGTACTGCCATGAACTGACAGACCTTATTTACATCATAACTGAGTTCTGGTCTTGTAAGAGTTGCATATTGCAGCATGCCAACAATGGATCTATAAGTGGATGGATCAGGTTGAGTAGCACTTCCTGTATTAGTTAGCTTGCAACTACTAACCATGGGAGTTTTCACTCCTTTGGAATCAATCATGCCAGCTTGATGTAATAAATCTCTTATGTATTTGGTTTGAGAGAGATGAAGACTTCCATCAGTCAGCTTTTTGACTTCTATTCCTAGGAAGAAGTCAATGTCACCCAAGTGCTTGAGAGAAAAGGATGAGTGTAGTTTGTAAATAAGGTTTTGAATTGCTTTAGAATCATTGCCTATGACCAGAATATCATCTACATATATCAATATGTAGATCTGAACTCCTTGAGACTTGAAGAATAGGAGGGATGGATCACATTTACTTTGCTGAAACCCTGTTGTATAAAGGACTGAAGTCAGTTTGTGAAACCAGGCCCTAGGAGTCTGCTTTAGGCCATACAATGACTTGTGTAGTTTGCAGACTAAAGTGGTGTCCTGTGCCTGAAAGCCTTGGGGTTGGACCATGTAGTCTTCTTCATCAAGTTTTCCATTTTGAAAAGCATTATTGACATCTAATTGCTGAATGGACCACTGATAAGAAACTGCCAAGGTGAGCAATATTCTGATAGTGATAGGTTTGACCACTGGAGAAAAGGTTTCTTTGAAATCAAATCCAAATCTTTGATGGAAGCCTTTGGCCACTAATCTGGCCTTATATTTGTTAAGAGAACCATCAGGGTTTTCTTTAACTCGAAAGACCCATTTACAGCCTATAGCTTGTTTGTCAGGTGGTAAAGGAACTAAAGACCATGTTTGATTTTCTATCAAGGCATTATACTCATTTTTCATTGCAGAAAACCACTGAGGAGATGTGAGTGCTTGCTTCACTGACTGAGGCTCAACATGTGCTAATAGCAAGGTAGGATTAAGTCTAGGTTTAATAATTCCTGATTTTGCTCTAGTTTGCATAGGATGAGTGTTAGTTATATGAACAGAATTGGAAATTGAGGAAGTAGAGTTAGATGATGGAGGAGAAGGTGGTTGTAGATGAATAGCTTGCTGATGTAGGGATGGACTGGGAGTAGAGTTGTTGGAATTTACTGAAGAATTATGAGTGGAGGCGGTAGATGAACAACTTGCTGATTGATTGTGATTATTAGAAGAGATGGGTTGCGAGGCAGTGGGTCGGGAATTATTGGATGAGAGGTTATGAGATTGAGATTGTGAGTTAGTGAAGGAAAGTTCATGAAGCTGGGATTGAGATGAGTTAGAACCAGAAGGAGGATTTGAGTCTAAAACAGTTAATATGGCAGAATCTGAGTTATGAGTAGGTTTGGTTGTGGGAATGGAAGATTGGGATACATATGCATAGGGAAAACTGGATTCATGAAAGATGACATCCTTTGAAATGTATACTCTGCCAGATTTGGAAAGACACTTATAGCCTTTATGCTGAGAAGAATATCCTATGAATGTACACTCTTCTGAGTGAAAATCCAACTTGTGTTTATTGTAAGGTCTGAGAAAAGGATAACAAGTGCAACCAAAGACTCTAAGAGAAGAATAATCCGGGACAGATCCATAAAGTTTAAAATATGGGCTGGAATTGGCAATGGACTTAGATGGAGTTCTGTTGATAAGATGCACAGAAGTTGCAAAGGCAGCATCCCAGAACTTAAAAGGTAAAGAAGAATGGGCTAGGATTGAGAGACCTTTTTCAACAATAGTGCGATGTTTCCTTTCAACCACACCATTTTGATGATGAGTGTGAGGACATATGATTCTGTGAGTGATTCCTTTTTCATTGAGGAAATTAGTGAAGGATCTAAATTCCCCTCCCCAGTCAGACTGTACAGATTTTATGCATATTGAAAATTGATTGAGAATCAAGTTGTAGAAATTTTGGAATGCTAGAAGAGCATCAGACTTATTTTTCAGGAAATATATCCATGTATATCTTGTAAAAGCATCAATAAAGGCTATATAATAGGAATATCCATCAAAAGATACAATGGGTGCTGGACCCCAAAGATCTGTGAATATTACTTCAAAGGGTTTATGATAAACAATATTAGAAGGATGTGAAGGAAGTCTATGTGCCTTCCCAAGACAGCAAGCAGAACAGAAATCAACATCAATGTGATTAATAGAAGACACATTACAATGTTTAAGTACATATTTAAGTGCCTCAAGATGAGGATGACCTAATCTGAGATGCCACAGATTACATGAAATTGAAGAATTACATGACTGAGACTTATTACATGCTGACAAACAAGACTTTGGATGCACAGATTTATTACTAGACACTAAAGAAGCTTGAGGATGAACTGCAACAATTGGACATGGACAAGAGGAATGAAAGGAAACTTGTATAAGCCATCTTCACCAAGTTTTCCATGCAACAAGACTTGTTTAGAAACCTGAGATTTGACATAACAGTCATGAAGATAAAATTCAAAGAAGACATTATTGTCCTTGGCAAATTGACTAACACTTAGTAGATTTTTGGTTATATGAGGAACATGAAGTATAGTATTCAGTAAGAGTGATTGTGAGGAGTGATAAGATGAGAGAAAGGAAGAAAAACCTATAAACTTAATATCCAAACCTTGTCCATTGCCCATGAAGAGCTTGTCAGATGTGGCAATAGGCTCACTGTGCTGGAAATTCAGTGGATCTGCAGTAACATGGTGAGTTGCTCCTGAATCTGGAAACCAATGTTGATTAGATGGAATAGGACCAAGTACAGAATGATTAGCAGTGGCATAGTTTGCAGATGGTGGAGTATTAAAAGGTTGCTGATGTCTCCAGTTGAAGGTTTCAGGAGGTGGATAGGTAGGCTGATGATTCCATGACTGATTGGGTTTTGATTGTATAGACTGAGATTGAAAGGTATATGGTTTAGGTTGATGAGTATAATGATTTGGAGGATAGTGAGATTGTGGGTTGGAATTCCAGTAGGGTGGAGGTCCAGAGGTTTGATTTGGATAATTAGGGTTTTGAGAAGAAGGATTAGGGTTTGGATTTGTATATGCAGGATTGTA